TACTCCCAACTCCATACTCCCTACACGGGGGAAGGAAGTCCGACCCCCCCCCTTTTCCAACGCCAAGGGGGGGAGGGGGGGGGGGGGTCCGGACCCCCCCCCCTTCAAGGGAGGGGGGGGGGGGTTCGGGACCCCCCCCCCCCTTAAGGGGGGGACGGGGGGTGGGGGTTCCGGACCCCCCCCCCCCCTTGAAGGAGGGAGGGGGGGGGGGGTTCTGGAATCCCCCCCCCTTTAGTGTATTCAGGGAGATCCACTGGCGCACTTTCTAATTCAAAAGTAACGACAGATGACCAGCTCGCGGGCCCCGTAGGGAGGAGGCTCCCGCCCGCCTGAAACTTCTTCGAGATTCACTCACAGACCAGGCTCCCGCCTGATACTTCCTCCAAATTCGGGCCTGGTGAATCCAACTGTGACGACAGTTGCAGGTTTGAGGATGGCCAGCTCAACTTAAAAACAAAAGCTGCGAGCCCCATAAGGGAGAGGCTCACGCCTGCCTGAGACTTCTCCGCAATTCACTCACAGACTAGGCTCCTGCCTAATACTCCACCCATCTTCAGGCCTGGGGAGCCCAAAAGAGACGACACCAGTTTCAGGGTGACCCGCTCGGATTAAAAACATGAGCTGCGGGCCCCAAAGGGAGGAGACTCCCGCCTGAGACATCCACCTCGCAATTCACTCACGGACGGGGCTCCCGCCTGATACACCTCCATATGCAAGCCTGAGGAGCCCAAAAATGACGATACTTACAGGTGTGAGGATGGCCCGCTCGGGTTAACAAAATGAGCTGCGGGCCCCGTAGGGGAGAGGCTCCCGCCTGAGGTTTCTTCGCAATTCACTCACAAACCAGACTCCCGCCTGATACTCCCTCCATGTTCACGCTTGGGGAGCCCAGCAGCGACGACAATTACAAGCTTGAGGATGACCCGTTCGCACCAACATTATGCGGTACGGGTCCCATAGGGGGGAGGCTCCCGCCTGAGACTTCCTCAAGATTCAAATCTCAGGAGCCCAACAATGACGACGAATACAGGTTTGAGGATGACTCGCTCGGATGAATAATGATGATGGTGATGATAATACTGATACGGATGCTGATGATGATGTTGATGCCGGTAAAATGATGCTGATGATGATGCTGATAATTATGATGATGATGGTGATGATGATGGTGATGGCGACGCTGATGCTGATGACGATGCCGATGCTGATGTTGATGATAATGATGATGAAACTGGGGATGATGATGATGGTGGTGGTGATGGTGAAGATCATGTTGATGGTGAGTGGAATGTTGATGATGGTGATGATGGCGATGCTGATGCTGATGGTGATGATGATGGTGACGGTGATGATGGTGGTGTTATTATTGCTGTTGATGGTGGTAATGATGATGATGCTGATGATGGTGATCATCATTATCGTGATCATGATCATGGTCATGATAAATGTGTGTGTGTGAGTTTGAGTGTGCGAGTGAAGGTGGAGGAAGAGGGGGTGGGGAGGTTTCTGCGCGGAGAGCGTCCAGGGAAAACAAGCCCACTTAGGACGTGGGGAAGAACATCCAGATAAGTATCCCTCCACGCGGCGGCACCCCGCACCTACCCCTACGGACTACGCCGCAAAAGATCCCCCCCTTGTCGCTTGCCGGTACGGCTGGACTCGACCGAACTGCGAGGGCCATCAGCTGAGCTAACGGGGCCACAAACTGAGCTACGAAGGTCATGGGATGAGCTAAGAGTGCCACCGGCCGGGCCACGAGGGCCACAAACTGAGCCAAGGGGGGCACGTGCTGAGCCACGAGCAACACATGCAGACCTGCCAGGGCCACCAGCCGAATTACCAGGACCAGCAGAGGAGGAGGAGGAGGAGGAGGAGGAGGAGGAGGAGGAGGAGGTGCTGGAGGTGGCGGAGGATCAGGTGGAGGAGGATGGGCTGAGAGCGGCACAGGAGGACTGGAGGGATGGGGAGGTCCACAAGGCAGAGGAGAGAAAAATGGCAGATGAGGCCAATGTGGCAGACAAGCCCAGGAAAGCAAGAGTCTTGGATCACCGTGAAGGCAAGAAAGGCAGAGACCAAGGGAACATACGAGGTCAAGAAGGCACGGGAAGCACAGAAGACCGAAGGGGACACCGACACCCATATGCCGTGTACGTTCCCATCCTCAAACGGATCGACGCGGAGATGGGCTACAACATCAGCCAGTCGGAGCACTCTTGCGACACGCAGACGCGCTGGGAATGGGCCCAGTACTGGGGTCAGAGTCACGACGAGGAGGACGACGGCGAAGGCGACCTGTACAAGCACGGCGCCAAGAACTCCCGCAGGAGGCGCGGAAACCCGCGCGCCAGCAGGGTGCCGTCGCAGGAGGATTACGAGAAGGCAGAGGAGGAGGCGGTGGAGGAGGTAGGCGGCGGCAGTGGAGGAGGAGGCCGTGGAGGCGAAGATAGCAGAGGAGCTCGATGGGGACCACGACCTGGCACTCCTCCACCATGCATCCAACGCATCCAAGAAACCTGAGCAGCAGGACGTCTGGGACGTATCTGAGGTGCCTCTTGGCCTCTCTTCCGGCCTCTGCGATGCCCTTCGCTGGGCCCCGGGGGCGCCGCAAAGGCCGGGGCCGAGGTCTCCCTGGGGCCCACGCTGTGACACCCTCGCGCCGCCCGGGGGCCCCTGGGGCCTGGCCGCTGATGCGACGGTCGCCACCGACGACGCCGTCGCTCTGGCGCACTGGCCACGCCTCGACCCTCCCGCACGACCCAGGTGGGGCGCACGGGGACTGGTGCGTCAAGCGCCCCCTTCGAGGGCGCCGCGCGTGCCCGGAAGGCGCGACTCGCCGCGCTGCTGGTCCGGGGCTCGAGGGCTCAGGGGGAGAGGGAGGAGGAGGAGGAGGAGTAGGAGGAGGGGAAGGACGGCGACGACGAGGAAGATGAGGAGGACGACGACGACGAGGAAGATGAGGAGGAGACGGCAGCCGAGGGCGAGGAGGAGGAAGACGAAATAGAGGACGAAGAGGAGGACGAACGCAAGAGGGAGGAGGAAAAGGCAACACAGGAGAGGGCCGCAGAGCTGCGGCTGCGTGGACAGCGGGCTCGGCGCGAAAGGGAGGAGGACCCCCACGGGCGCCTCGACCGAGCTAGACCCGGGCGGAGGCACTACAAATAAAATAAGATTGGTACCCTACCTCGCGGCGGCACCCCATTCCTGTCTTGCAGGCTACGTCGCCAAGGACACCCCCGTCGTCGCCACGGCTGGACTCGCCGTCGTCGCCGCGGTTGGAGTCGACCCGCTGCCCCCCGAAGTTGCTACAACTACCTGCGAAACTACGTGGGCCACCAAGACTTATGGGGACCACACGCTAAGCTACGAGGACCACTGGCAGACCTAAGAGAGCTACCAGAAGAGCTTCAAGGCCCACCTGCCGGGCTGCGAGGGCCACCAACAGGTCTACGAGAGCCACAAGCTGAGCTACGAGGACCGCGAGCTAAGCGATGAGGGCCACAAGCAGCACCACCAGCTGAGCAACGAGGGCTACCAGCCGAGCTACAAGGGCCACGAGCAACGCTACGCGGACCACCAGGCGAGCTCCCTGCGCCACCCGCTGAACTACGAGGGCCACGAGCAGAACTTCGAGAGCCATCGGCAGAGCCACGAGGTCCACCTGGAAAGCCACGAGGGCCACAGCCTGAGCTCCGAAGGCAACGAGCAGAGCTACTGCAGCCATCAGCAGAGCTGCCAGGGCCAGCCGCGGACCTTCGAAGACACCAAGCTGAGCTACGAGGACCACGGGCAGAAGGATGATCAGAATGAAGATGGTGGTGGTGATGGCAGTGATGGTGGTGATCGCGATGGTGATGGTGATGGTGATGGTGATGGTGATGGTGGTGGTGGTGGTGGTGATCGACGAGCTGGGCCCCTTCCCGAAGCCTCCAACACCATACGAGGCACAAACAACTGCACGAACATGCAGTTTCGGAGGTCCGCGCAGATCCCCTGGAGCTGCACTGTTCTCCCCCCCCTCCCTGGCGCGTCCGCCGCGCGGGGCCCGGCGCAGGTCCAAGAAGTCCGCGAGGAGCTCCGAAAGCTTGCGCTGGTGCGGCTGTACCCGTAAGTCGGGCGTGCCCCCCTGCAGGGGGATGTTCGACGGAACATGAAAAATACGGAAAATCAAAGTGCTCCAGAATGGCCAAACAATACAAAAGCAACAAAAAGAAAGACAAAAAAAAACGTCCCCAGACAATATGTTTGACTATGTTTGAATGTTCCCCCTGCAGAGGGACAGGCCCGACTTTTAACTCTACCCCTCCGAGGCCGCCCCGAAACCTTCCCGAGGCCGCGCCCGACCGCCCTGCGCGAAAATCCAGCAACACACTTGAGCCCCGAAAATCCGGCAATACATCTGAGCCCTTTTGGGGTAAACCCGACCGAAACCTTGGAGGCCTGGAAATTGGCACCAGCACCAACACAGGGGGTTGCCTCCACAGGGGGAAGACGATCCTGGAATTCGGTGTTGGTGGTAATATCTCGGCCACCTTGGAAGCCAAAATATTACCACCATCACCGAGACCGGAATCCTCATCCCTGGGTGGAGGCACGCCGCCGATATTGGTGTTGGTGTCAATCTCGAGGCCTGCGAAAACCTTCCCGAGGCCGAGCCCGACCGCCCTATACGCTCCCAGGGCCGCCCGCAAGCCCCCGCGCGCGGGGGGCCCCCCCGAGAGCTCCAGAGCCCGGGGCCCGCCGCGCGCCTCCTCTCGCGGGCGGCCGAGGCGGCGGGCCCCCTCCTCCCCCCCCCTCCCTCCCTCCCTCCCTCCCTCCCCTCCTCCCCCCTCCTCCCTCCTCCCTACTCCCTCCTCCCTCCCTCACTCCTCCCTCCTCCCTCCTCCCTCCTCCCTCCTCCCCCTCCCTCCTCCCTACTCTCCTCCCTCCTCCCTCCCCCTCCTCCCTCTTCCCTCCTCCCTCCCTCCTCCCTCCCTCCCTCCTCCCTCCTCCGAGCGGCGGGCGTCGTATGCGTTCGCGTGCAGGATCGTCCTGTTGCCGTTCTCGCAGGTCCAGACGGCGCTGGGGGGTCGATGCTCCTGCGGCGGCAGGGCAGAACCTCCCGCGGGCCCCGGAAACGGCAGGGCCGCTGTTTGCACCGCTGCCGAGACAGTGCCCCTTGAAAATGGAAACGGCGACAAAAAACGGCGTTGGAAGGAGGGGGAGGAGGAGGAGGAGAGGAGGAGGGGGAGGAGGAGGAGGAGGAGGGGGAGGAGGAGGAGGCCGTTGTTGCACCGCTTCCGAACAAAAATTCACTTGAAAATGGAAACGGCCAAAAAAACGGCGACCGGAAACGGCAACAGAAACGGCTCCAGGATTGGAACCACAGAGCAGGCGGCCTGGGGAGCCCCACCAGTTTCCAGATAAAAAAGATTGGCCGAATTCTGGAAATCCTGGATCCAGAAAAAAAGGCATTCATTGTCATCTCTTGGGGGTGCGGCTCGCACTTCTGCCGCCCTCCGCCGAGCTTCCGCCCGCCCCCAACGGCGGAGCGGTCCTCGCTCGACTCCCGCCACCTCCCGCCGAGGCAGAAATGCCGACCCATGTGAAGAGGCCCTGAGACACACAAATAAAGACACACAAATAAAAGGATTCCCCATATTTTCCCATATCTTCTGGGCTTTTGTCTTCCCCCCCACTTCCCATATTTTCCCATATTTTCTTGGGAATCGACGATGAATTGTGTCTGTGTGCTTTCTTTCCTCCTGACCATGGGCTCCCTCCTCGAAGGCGAGGCCCTCCCTGGAGCGCGCCCGCTCGGCGAGGGAGGCGCCCCCCCTGCGCCCCGCGCAGAGATCGGGTCGGGCGAAAGGGGGGGACAGCAAGGGGGGGGGGGTGAGAACCAGCTCAAGTACTCCAGATCTCGTAATAAAAGGGAGGGGGTCTGGACCCTCCAAGACAAGCCATTTCAGACCCCCCCCCGTGGGAGAACCCTCCAAAACATCGTCCCCAGACCCCCCCAGGCCCTCCAAGATAGGCTGGAAGAGACCCCTCCCGAAATGAGACCCCCTCCCTTTTATTACGAAATCTGGAGTAGCAAAGGAGGGGTTTGAGAACCAGCTCACGTAGCTGATTTTCCCGGCGCCTCCCGGCACCGGAGGCGGCTATGTATCGAGGAATGGGCCCCTCGGTGAGGCCGAAACCGGCTGCGTGCAGCAAATTTCGTACCCCCCCCTTTCCCAATGCCCCCCTTTCGTCCAGCCCGAAAAGAAACCCCGATCCGCCGACCGGGCGGTCCTCCCGCAGAGGTCGCAGGAGCAGATGGAGATGCCGTGGCTCAGGATGCGCGCGACGATCTGCGGGCGCCCACCCGCGCGCGCCCTCCCGCACGGCCACGCGCCCCTTAAGGCCGCCTTCGGCCTCCGTGGGCCCTCGCCGGGCCCCGGGGACCGCCGACCCGCCGACCCGGGACGAGAAGCACCAGCCCTGCAGGGGAGAGGGTCGGGCTGTCCCCGAGGGGCCCGCACGGGAAGAAGAAGAAGAAGAAGAAGAAGAAGAAGACGTCTGGACGTCGGATGCCGGGGAGCGGCCCGCCGACATGCTCCTCGGTCGGGAGAGGCAGGGAGGAACAGGAAGTGGGAAGGCGCTGAGCACAGACATGGGCTCCGTCCGCCCCCTCGGGCGCACGGAGAAGGTGCAGCCACAGGATCACGGAAGCGGGAGGGCGCTTCAAGGAGATTGGAACCTGGGAGTCCAGAGATACCCACCTTCGACGACCGATCGGCAACCCGAGCCTCGGCACCTGCGCTGAGGCCGCCGCCGCCGCCGCCTGCGGTGCGCTCGGCCAGAGTTGAGCAGGGACCGACCGTCCCGGCACTCCTATAGTCATACCACGACATGTTCTTAGAACCCAAAAATGTGCGAAGAACCAAAAACAAGGTTCCTAGAACATACAACCCGACGTGCGAAAACGAGACAAGCTCCGCCGGAAAGGGTCTGAAGAACATTGCGCTGGGAATCTCAAGCGGTTCTTGGAACATTGTTTGGTGGGGCCATAGGCGAGCCGGGGCGCTTCGCCGCTGCTTGAAAGATACCCGCCTTCGACGACCGATCGGTCACCCGTGCCTCGGCACCTGCGCCGAGGCCGCCGCCGCCCCCTGCGCTGCGGCGGCCGCGGAGCGCCTGCGCCGTGGGCCCCCGGCCTCTGCGCCGCGCCTCTGCGCTGCGGCCCGCCGCCACCGCGAATGACTCGGCCGGCCCCGGCCTGCCCCGCCGCCCTCTGCGCGGCGCCGCGGCCCCGGCGCTCGCCGACTACCTTGACCTTCCAGAGAGCTATCATTTAGCACGGGTGGCCCAAAAACCTAAAAAACTAAACGAAACAGCCGAAAATCAAGACATATAATAGCTCTGGGATTGGTTTTTAAGTCGCGTGCTATGTTTTAGCCCTCCTGGAAGGTCAGGGTACCCGCCACCCTGACCTTCCAGGAGGGCTAACAAAGTAGCACGCGACTTCAAAACCGATCCCAGAGCTCTTCTATGCCTTGGTGTTAGGCTGTTTGGTTCCGTTTCTTAGGTTGTTAGGCCTCCCGTGCTAAGAAACATAGCTCTTTGGAAGGTCAGGGCAGACCACCCCGACCCAACCCGAAGACCCGAATTTTGGGTTGGGGGGGGGAGGTACGGGTTCCATATGTGTTCCTCCGCGTTCCCCGATCACCCCCCCCCCACTGGAAATGGATGGCAGGTTGGGGCCCTCGGGCTGCGTTGGGGTGGTTCGGTGGGTGGTGACTCGCTGCCGCCACCGGCTGGCCCCAGCTGGCCCTGTGCCCAGCCCCGTGCCCCGCGCAAGGCTGGCTGCCGCCATAGGCTCCCGCCCGGCCACGTGGCCCTGCACTGCGCTCTCACGCTGCTCCTGCTGGTCAGCCGAGCGCCACATCATTGCGCACCCCCGAGCTCGTTGCCGCCACCAGCACGGCCAGCCCCGCCGCTGGGCACTACTGGGATGACCGCAAAGGTTGCTAAAGGGATGGGGGGTGATAAGTGGATGCCAAGGTGATTATGCCTGGCCCAACCTGGCTTGTAAGTGGGTTACACATGCCCCCAGTGACTCAGGGGGGTTAGATAACTCCCCGAATTAAGTGGGCGGAACACACGTAGCCCGGATCGCCACCCCCCTTACGCCATTCGGGGCATTTGCGACCCACGTCTGCGCCAGGTTGGCCCAGACAGAATCACCTGGGCATCTGCTTCTAAACCCCCTTATCCCTTTAGCAACCCCCGCGGTCATCCCAGTAGCAGCCTCGGAAAATCCATGCGGCCATACGTGCGGCACGGGGAAATGACCACAGCCACTGCTTCTTGTTTGCGCCGCCTTCCAGCCGGCCGACAAAGAAGCAGTGGTTGTGGTCATCTCCCTGGTGCCAAGCTCAACGAAAAATGACCACAACCACTGTTTTGTTTCTGCGGGCTGGAAGGCGGCAACAAAAGAAAAGCAGTGGCTGTGGTCGTTTTCACGCCCCGTAATACGTGTCATCACACGACGCTCGAGATCGCGGCTCTCCCCACCCGATGTGGTGCCAGCATCGGGCCTCGAGCATCCGCTCTGGACCACGCTGGCGCGCCCCATGGAAGAGCCCACAGCGAGGCACGGGACGGCTGACAAGCAGAGCCCTACAGCCATCGTGCTACGATGGCGAATGCACAAGTGAAGGGTCCCTGGGACACACAAATAAATACACACACATCAAACTATGCCCCATATCTTCCCACATGTTCTGGGTGTCTGCCTTCCCCCCCACTTCCCATATTTTCCCATATTCTCTGGGGAATCGACGATTCATTGTGTCTGTGCGTGTTTTCCCCCTCCTCACCTAGCAGCCATCGTGCTACGATGGCGAATGCACAAAGTCAGGCACGAAGGGGCCCTGCTGGCCACGGCGGGCCCGGGCCACACAGACCGCCCCCGCGGCCCAGCTCCGAGGCGAGCGGCCCGAGCACCCGACCGCGCCGCTCCCGAGCCCCATGGGCGGCCCCACCTCCCACGCCCCGCGCGCGGGGCCCCATAGAGCCCCCCCTGGTGCTCCTCCTCCTCCTCTTCCTCCTCCTCCTCCTCCTCCTCCTCCTCCTCCTCCTGAGCACCCGCGCCGCTCCCCGAGCACCCGCGCCGCTCCCTGAGCCCCGGGCGGCCCTTCTTCCCAGGTCCCGAGCGCGGGGCCCCATAGAGCCCCCCCCCAAAGCCGGGTGTTGCTAGAAGTACCCCTGGCCCAAGGTGCCCCCAGCTTTTCGCTCCATCTTGCGCCCCCTGAGGCCCTCTGGGCCTCGTGAGGGGTGCTTTGGAGGCCGTTTGGGCTATCCCGAGAATCCTGGGGGCACCTTGGCCCAGGGGCACTTCTAGCAACCCCCTACAAAGCTCTCCCGACGGCGGGCGCGGCCAGGAGCGGGGTGTCTCCAAGAGGGGGGGTGCCAATCATGACCGGCGGCACGTGCGCGGCCAGGCGGGGGGCCAGGGGCGTCACGAAGTAAGAAGAGAGGCGCCATGAGATCTGTGGAACTATCATGGCCCACGCCATGATATACGCCAGGGGTGGGTGGGTATAATACCCACCCACCCCTGGTCATCCACCCCCCTCCTTGCCGCCCCCGACGATGGCGCCAGGAGGTCGAGAGGGCCCAGAGAGACGCCGAAGACCTCCGCCGCACGACAGGGCGAGCCCCGGGGGACCGGGCGCCGGCACGAGAGCGAGGCCCAAAGGGCTCGCCTTCTCGGCGCCGAGCGCCCCAGGGGGCGCCGCTGGGAGGCGGCGCCGGGGTGCTGAGACCGCTCCCGGACTGCTCGGGGGTGCCGGACGTGAAACGGGGCTCGCAAAGGCAAGCCTCCCCCCAGCGACGACCAACTGTTTAACAAGCGGCTGGCGACGTTCACCGCCGCCCTGCGGCCACAACACGCGCGAGAAGCTCGCCAAACCAAACACGTGGGAGCCAGTGCCCCTCGCTTGCCACCTCGGGTGGCCTGCTGGGGCCAGCTGGAGGGGGGGGGGGCAGGAGAGCCCAGAGCCGAATCGAGAAGTCGGATCGGCGATCGAGATGGATCGGATCGGCAGGAGTCGGCAGCCGGGTCGGGAGAAGCCGGGAGAAGTCGAGCCGGCGGACATCGGCAGCTCAGTAGGCCGCCATGGAGGAGTCGGAACCCGACTCGGAATCCCAAGTCGAATCGAATCGGAATCGGAGTCCATCGGAATCGAAGCGAACCAGAGGAATCGAGACGAGCCCTGGGGGGGGGAGGGGGGGCTGCCTGCGCGCAGCCCGGAGCCTCACTGAGCAGAGACGGCGCCTCCGAAGCGGGCGAGCGCGCAGGCGCTAAGTTGAGCAGGGACCGACCGTCCCGGCATTCCTATAGTCATACCACGAAATGTTCTTAGAACACAAAACTGTTCTCAGAACATGCACCCCATGTGTTAAAACAAGACAGACTCCACCAGAAATGTTCTAAGAACAGTTCGTGGGAACCACAAAAGGTTATTAGAACATTGTTTGGTGGGGCTATAGGCGAGCCGGGACGCTTCGCCGCTGCTTGAGAGCGGGAGGGGCCGCCTGCTCGAAGATGGCCGTGCCGTGCAGGTTCGCGGGCAGCTGCCGCCCGAACACGCGGCGCACGCGCTCCTGCACGCTGGGGGGCCGGCGTTCAGTTAGGAGGCAAGCCCCATTAAAAAGGATTAAGGAGGAAAGAGGAGGAGGAGGGAGGAAATATTAACGAGGAAGGATCAAGGAAATATGTAGGAAAGATTCAGAGAACTGGGAGGTCCTTTTCGGGAAGATCTAAGGAGGATTGAGCCCCATTTGGGAGCTGTTACGCCGGAGTGGGCCTCGGACCAAGCAGGAGTAAGCCAGATGAAGCGGGATTATAAGCAGGATTAGGCCGGATGAAGCGGGATCAAGCGGGATCAAACCGGATTTCGGACCAGGGCGAACACAGAATTTGACCTCCCAGGAGTTGCATCCGAAGTTCAGGGGGTGGGAACTGGCTGGGCTCGAGAGGGGGGAGGCATCACCGAGGGTGAGGGGCTCGAGGTGTGGGGTTCGAGGTTCTCGGACGTCTTGGTCGGTTTCCGGCGGCGTTCCAGCCTCGGGGTGCCTTCCAGCGGCGGCGCCTCGCCGAGCGGCGTCCGGGGCTGCCCGGATCGCCCCGAACGGCCGCCAAAGGCTTGAGCCATGACCTGGAACACAACAAGGGGCCAGCTCAGGGGGGAGCATCGAGCATGAGTCGGCGATGCATCGCCGATAGATCGGCGGCACGCCCGCGATAGAGAAACAGTGCGTTACCAGCCTGGAACATATCCCTATCCCTATGCTGGGCACCTCCTCATCACGATGCCAATCTTAGGGATTCCCTTAATTTTTGAGGGCGAATCCCTAAGATTGCCATCGCCTTTTGGCGTGTCGATCTCAGGGATGGGGATACGTTCGAGGCTGGTCAGTACGCTCCTGGGCGGGGTGGGGCCGTCGGTCCCCACAGCGGCGAGCCATGGGAGGTCGCGGGTCGATGCATTCCGCCCTGAGCCTGTCCCCCCCGATCGTTGCCCCTGGTCGGGGTCCGACTTCAAGGGGTCAGAATCCGCGAAGGGAAACATAAGAAAGCCACACTTGCCTATGAGAAGTGCTGGCCTGGGCGCGGAAGCTCCAGAGGACTCCGCTAGGAGAAGCCACGGAAGGCACATGGTTTGAGACACATGCGCTCCGGAACAAGGATGTTCCAAGGAATTGAATTTACCTTCTCGTGGCTCCTGGCCCACAGCCGGCTGCCCCCTGTTGGCAGGCGAAGGACGCACGCGGGGAGGGGGGGGGGGCTGGCTAGGCGACGTCCGAGACGGACAGCCCCGAGATCCTGGAGGTGCAACTTTTCACACCGGGCGTGTTCGCCCAGTTTCGAACCCTGGGGCCATCACAGACTGATCCAGCGCGAACAATGATGCCCTTTGGAGGAGGTCTTGGGCTCAGGTCGTGTGCTTGTTTCTGCGCGATGCTGCCATGTTTCGTGACGTGGGATCCTAAAGGGAGAGGCGGGGCGCGAGTTGTTCCATGCATCGGGCGTCGTAGCAAGTATGGTGCGCGCCTTCCAGGAGGAGGAGGTGGAGGAGGAAGAGGAGGAGGACGAGGAGGAGGCGAAGGGGGGACAGCCGCAAGCAGCACCAATAATCAAGAAAACACAATAGGATGCATAGGTAATGGTGCATGATTGTCGGTCAGCAAGACGCAATGAACATGAGCATGATCATTTTCATTATCCAGATTGACCTGAGGTGCGAGGAGGAGGAGGAGGAGGAGGAGGACGGGGGGGAAAAGGAGGAGGAGGAAGAGGAGGGGGAGGAGGAGGGGGAGCTCGAAAAACAAGAAGGAAGGGACGAGGAAATAGTGAGCGAAGGGAAGGCACGGAGGAGCAGTGCGTGGGAAGGGGGGGGAGCGTGAGGCGTAGGAGGACGAGGAGGGAGGGCGGGGGAGGGGGGGAAGAGGTGGAGGGACGGAAGGAGAGGGAGGGCGGGCGAGGGGGGAGGGAGGGCGGGCGAGGGGGGAGGCGAGGCGAGGCGAGGCGAGGCGAGGCGAGGCGAGGGAAAGAAACACGACCAGAGGCGGCACCCCTGAGATCCGACGTCACGGAGAAAAGGCAGCATCGACTGACAACACAACGAGCAGACAAACACGGGGCCGCAGACCCCGTCTTGCTGTAACACTGCTCGAGCTCGACCGACATGTGGTGACCCCGGGGCCCGAGAACGCCCAGCTTGAAAACACTGCAACGCCCGCGGGACCTCGGAGGCCCTGCGGCGGGTTCCTTCGGGGTCCTGCCGGCTCGGGGCTCGTGGCCTCAGGGCGTGAGGACACAGGCCTCAGGGCCTGAGGACATAGGCCTCAGGCCTCAGGGCTGAAGGCTGAGGACACAGGGCTCATGGCTCTGGCCCATGGCCCTGGCTTCCGAGTTCGGAAACCAGCGACCGGGCTCAGGGCACAGGCACAGGGACCTCGCCTCAGGGCTCGGGGCTCAGAGCCTAGGGCGCAGGGCCCAGGCCTCTGAGCTCAAGGCCCACGGTTGTGAGCTCAGGGATCAGGCCAGGGAGCCCAGGGTGCAGGGCTCAGGGCCCTGGAGTCAGGGCTGAGGGCCCAAGGGGTCAGGGCCCAGGTCTGAAGACTCAGGGCCCAGGGCGCAGGAGTCTTCAGGAGTCGTCAGGGCTTTCAGTATTCCTCAGGGGTCCTCAAGTCTCTTCAGGGTTCCTGCGGACTCCAGGTTCCTTCCGTTTTCTCAGGGGTCAGCAGCAGAGTTCAAGTGAATGCCGTCGGAATCCTTTTGGGATCCTGTGTATTCCTGCAGGTTGCTCAGGATTGCCCCGAAGTCATCGGGGTTCTTCAAGGTTCATTGGGCCCCACAGGGGGGCAGGAGGGGTCCCCATGACCCCCCAAGGATCTTCAAGAGGATTCCTCAGGATTCCTCGGGACCCACCAAAGGGGCCCCACGGGTCCTCAGGAGGAGGAGGACGAGGAGGAGGAAACAAAGGAGGGGGACGAGGAGGAGGAGGAGGAGGAGGAGGAGAAGGAATATGAGGGGGAGGAGGCGGAGGAGGAGGAGGAGGAGGAAAAGGAGGAGGAGAAGGAGGAATATGAGGGGGAGGAGGAGGAGGAGGAGAAGGAGGAGGAGGAGGAGGAGGAGGAGGAGGAGGAGGAAGAAGACGAGGAGGAGGAGGAGGAGGAGGAGGAGGAAGAGGAGGCTATTTGTTGACCGCTACAGGCCGCTTCACCTCTGCATGCTCCTGCAAAAAAAAGCCCAACTCGAGGGGAAACATGGCCTGGCTGCTCGTCCATCTGCGCACTGTCCCACAAGAGTGCGGCCGGAGAGAGCCGCATCGGCATGACGCAACACACGATGCACGAGCCAACACCACACAAGAGGTTCGCCGTGGCGCCCAGAGGCCGAAAACGGGGGGAAGCCCAAGGGACAGAGACCCACAATAGAAAAACACAATCGGACTCATCCTGACTCCGCTCTCCAACCGCGGGACGAGGGGGAGAAGGAGGGGAGGAGGGGGAGGAGGAGGAGAAGGAGGAGGAGGAGGAGGAGGAGGAAGATGAGGAGGAGAGAGGAGAGGAGAGGAGGAGAAGGACGGAAGAGAAGAAGAGAGGAGGAGGAAGAGGAGGGGCGGAGGGCGAGGAGGAGGAGGACGGGGAGGGGCGCCCGAGGATGCGGACGGTGCGTCGGCGGCGCAGGGGTGGGGGGGGGAGAGACGGAGGAGGACGAGGACCATGAGGAAATGAGAGGAGGAGAGGGAGGAGGAAGGAAGGAGGAGGAGGGAGGAGGAGGAGGAGGAGGCGGCGTATTCTGTCATTGGTGCACTCGATGTGCCCGCACGCCGCTGCCATGACAATTCGAGTCCTGACGCGCCCCACTGGTGCAAAACATTGGCATCCCTACTGGAAAGGGTGCGTGCTTGACCACGGCATACGAAGCAGGTGGACGACGACGACGACGACGAAGACGACGACAACGAGGACGAAGACGACGACGAGGTCGACGACGAGGACGACGACGACGGCGACGGCGACAACGACGGCGATGAGGCGTACGAAGATGAGGGGGACGAGGAGCAGGAGGAGGAGGAGGATGAGGAAGAGCATTAGGAGGAGGAGGAGGAGGAAGAGGAGCAGCAGCACCAGCAGCAGCAACATCAGCAGCACCAGCAGCGGCCGCGTTGTCGTCGTCGTCGCGCGCTTGTTCGCCCGTGCCCCGCGCGCGCCCCGTGCGGGGTAGGAAGAGGATGAGGAGGAACGGGAGGAGGAGGAGGAGGAGGAGGATGAGGAGGAGGAGGACGAGGAGGAGGAGGAGAAAAGGGAGGAGGATGAGGAGGTGGCGGGGGAGGAGAATGAGAATGATAATGACCATGTGACAGAGTCAACCGTGTGCCTACCACGTGAATTACTGATGCACCGACATACGTTACACATGCCCGCGAGTGCGCTTCTCCGCTGCACTTAAACATTGGGAACGAGGCCTCTGGAGATACGACTAAGGTACAGGCCTCTCGTGGAGGTGGCCTTAGCAGTGCACCCCTCCCCTAGCTCGCGCAACACAGGCGATGCGCGACGCCCGCACGACTTAGAATACCAAAGCTTCCATACTGTGGAATATAGCATGGTATGACTCAGGTCTACCCAGCCCCCCGCATTGTGCAGCTTGGCATTGGGGGTTTATAGAGGAGAGACCCGTCATAATGCAAGGGCTGAAAACAATCGCTCTGAGGAAACTCGGCCGTGGTCGCCTTGGAGGCCGACCCGCCACATCTGGTGCAACGCCTCCCAGGTTCATCAAGACAGTGCGAAGACGAGAAGAGGGGGGCAAGAAGCAGCAGCAGGGGGGCGGATCCTTTTCACGCGGGGCCCACGTTTTTCTTCAACGACCAGAGCTTCGGCAGCAAACGGATCGAGAGACGCTCGGAGCAGACGCATGCGCACAAGATTCGCACGGCGCTCGTGGAGCAAGCCAGTCTGCCTTGCTGGCGAGGGCAGGCGGGCTTGGCGAGCAGCCATACCAGCTACATATGCAGTGGCGCTTCCCGTTATGAGCCACCTCTGCCAACGATTAGTAACAACCGCATCTTCACTCTGATGGGAATGGGCAA